TTTTTTTTTTTTTTCCTCCTTTCTTGGACAGTAGGGACCTGCCAGTCCCTACCTATGGCAGGCCCTACTAACGGCCAACTCACTCACTCCCTCTCACTTTTTTTATCTTATTCTCCCCCATTTTCTTTTCTTTTCTCTGTTTTTTCTAGCATGCCAATTGTCAAGTGGCCGTTAAGGCCTTTTTCTAGCCTCTTCCTCTTAGTTTTGACCCTCCCTATGCCCAAGGTGCAGTCCGTTATTTCTCGGACTGCAATAATGGTCTTCCCATGCCCATGGGAGCCTCCTTTTACTCCTACATTTCTCCCACAATGGTCCCTCCTACTCCGATTTTCTCCCGGAGGGCTATTTTTCACATAGGGTCTTATTTTACTTTATTTTCTTGAGGGGGCTGATCCGAGATTTTTCGGATTGCTCCCATGCCTCCCACTTCAGTTTTCTTTACTTTTTCCTTTTCCTTTTGGCCTTCCCGTTTGTCATCACTAGTACTTGCACTAGTGGTGCTAATATTCTTGGCCATCAAGATGTCGATCTTGACGGTGCATCTTGCCTTTATTATTTTTCCCTCATGCGGTGCCGCCGTTTCTTCTTGGGACTTTCACATGTCCCCGCCACTTGTCTCGTCGGTGGTCCCCGACACTTAGTCCCGCCGGTGGTCCCCGATACTTAGTCTCGTCGGCGGTTCCCGACACATTTCGCCCCGGACGCCATTATTTTTACTTAGTCCCACGTGGCCCCGGGTGCCTTTCCCCGAGGTGTCCCATGCCCCTTGGGCGTCTTGTCGCCCCATAGCGACCCCTTTCCTTAGTCTTTCCTCGCGCCTCGTGCGTGTGGGCCTCCGCTCCGAGGCTCCCGTAGGTGGCCCCCACGTTGGCCCCTCATTTCCTGGCTTCCCGCGGCTTCTGGCCGCCCATCCCTCGACTTCCTCATTCCCTTATTGCTGTCGCGCTGCCGTTGCTAGTTCAAAGGGCCCCTTGGCCTTAATCTTATTGCATTCTGATGGCCCTCCCGGCCTCCTGCTATGTTCTATGTGCCCCTGTTCTTGCGCTTGCTCGCTTGCCGCCGCTTAGTTCTTTCCCCCTGTGGTTCTCGCCCCAGGGCATTACTCCCTCCTGCGGCCTAATCCTTTATCTCGTCTCACTTCGGATTTCTCTGTTGTGCACAACTCATCCATATTCGGTCTCTTGAGTGATGGGAAGTTATTCGGGACTCACCAGTCCAGACAACGGTATGGGAAAAAGCAGTGGGTCACGAGCCATTCGGGAGGTCGCCGAGGTTATTATTGCTTCATACCCGAATGTGGTGGGGTTTGGTGGTTTTGCTGAGCGTGACGAGAGGATGCGGAAGTTTGCCGCTTTGGGTTTCCCTAATTGTTGGGGGTGCATTGACTGCACTTATGTGTACATGGACAAGCCTCGACGCAGGGACGGAGTCGAGTATTGTTCCGGAAGAAACAATCGCTTCTCCATTGTTGCACAATTGGTGGTTGACTCCGATCTCAAAATTCTTGACTTTTGTTACGGTTTCCCAGGGATCGTTGGCGATGCACGCGCCCTCAAGAACTCATCTATGTATAGGAGGGCGTTGAAGGGGTCATTGTTTTTGGATGTCCCGAACGACCCCTTCCGCGGTGAGAGGCCTGAGATTGTTGGTGTGCCAGGTGGGTACTTGTTGGGTGACAGAGGCTATCCGAGTCTGCCATGGCTTGCCATTCCCTACGGAACCCTGCACCCCATTCAGACAGCGAACATGACGTTGTTCGACAACCTCCACAAGATTGTCAGATCTGCTGTGGAGCGGTTTTTCGGTGTGTTCAAGATGAGGTTCCAGTTTTTCTACCGGCCACACATAACGGACATCAAAAGGGAGGGGTTGGAATTTCATGCTTGTGATATCTTGCATAATCTATTCCAGGAATGGGGGGACGATCCTGTGGATAATGATGAGGCGTCCGACGCTGCCTCTCCTCAGGTTCCGTTCGGGAACGCCCCCCCGGAAGCGGACATTGCTCCCCTCCCCTTCATGTTCGGGAGGGAGAACGGTCAGGCCATGAGGGATGCACTGTGTGCAGAGGTCATTCGACAGTTCCACATCCGCAGCCAAGTTTAATCGTTTCGAAAGAAAAATAAAATAAAATATATATATATGACGATATATATATATATATACATAGATGTGGATCGGATGCATTCCACCTCCTTCTTCGGGGTATTTAGCAAGGATGACATTTGCACACTCATGACAGGTCGAGTTGTGCTGCTTGTTGGCTGAGGTCTGTCGTAGCCTTCCCTCGCTGTCCCGCGCTTGCACACCATGGTAGGGAATGGCACTTGGAGGGATTATGTGAGGGAGCGGAATGCGCTGGTGCAGGAATTGGAGAAGACAGAGAGGGAGGTCGAACGTCTGGACAAGTTCTTGGTGGCGAGAGGTGATAGTATCACCGTCCGTATGCGACATGACAGAGCAGTTTGTGAAACTAAGATAACGCAGGAGAGTGATCATGCGAGGAGATGAGCTTTGTCCGTTGTTCAAAGACTGCGTTCGTCGAGAGCGAACCTGCAGCAGTGTTGTGACGACGTCGTCACAGAGCATCTGCAGACACGGCGGCAGTTGGATAGATGCGGACAAATGTCGGAGGACATGCGCAAGCAGGCAGATCAGACATCAGCCTTGCAGAAAGCGTTGGTGGAGCGGGATGCGGTTGCGGCGGAGCGGGGAGAAGCTATGGCGGAGCGGGATGAAGTTCGAGGACAGTTGGATGCAGCATCAAGGGATCTGCGAGTGACACGTCAGCAGGCTCAAACGACTTGGCGAATCTATAACGACGTTGTGTATGGTGGTCAGACTGCGCGTCAAAAGTTCCCACCACCGGCGAGAGATTTGTGTGAGGGGATGGGATGCATGACACTCCGCGATAAAGGAAAGGCCGTCGGCATATCCACTTCCACCTCTGCTGCGCAGGCGTCGAAATGCGTTTTGTGTGAGGACTTGACTGCGCGTTGTCGGGACTTGTGAGTCCCGAATGACTTCCCGTCACTCGAGAGACTGTATATGGCTAATTTGTGCACGGCAGAGAAAACCGGAGGCAAGAAGGATGAAAGGATCAAGGCTTAGGCATAGGTGCTAGGAACCTAGAAGCTGCCCAAAGTCGTCAGGACCAATGGACTAAGAAGAAAATTGACGGAACGGGGAGCGGCGGAGGCACGCAAGAAAGTGGCGAAGGCGACCCTTCCCCCGAAACGGAGAAGGACCGCCAAGAAAAGTAGTGGCAAAGGATGCGCGCTGCAAAGAGAGAAAAGAAGCAAGGGAAATGGGTGAATGATACGTAAGGCGCCGGCACGAGAAAACGTAGCCGGGCCAAGTAGGCCGCCAGGACGCGGCAGCAAGGGGGTCATGGGCCAAGTGAGGACTCACGCCCGGTGGGACAAGGTGTCGGGGACCGCATGAGATCAAGAGAAGATGCGGTACCGGCGGGACAAAGTGTCGGGGACCGCGTGAGACCAAGAAAAGATACGGTACCGGCGGGACAAAGTGCCGGGGACCGCGTGAGACCAAGAGAAGATGCGGTACCGACGGGACAAAGNGCGTGAGACCAAGAAAAGATACGGTACCGGCGGGACAAAGTGCCGGGGACCGCGTGAGACCAAGAGAAGATGCGGTACCGACGGGACAAAGTGTCGGGGACCGCATGAGACCAAGAGAAGATGCGGTACCGGCCTGCAAAGTGTCGGGGACCGCGTGAGACCACGAGAAGATGCGGTACCGGTGGGACAAAGTGCCGGGGACCGCGTGAGACCTAGAGAAGATGCGGTACCGACGGGACAAAGTGTCGGGGACCGCATGAGACCAAGAAAAAAATACGTCACCGGCGGGACGAACTGCCGGGGACCGCGTGAGACCAAGAAAAAAATACGTCACCGGTGGAACGAAGTGTCGGGGACCGCATGGGACCAAGCAAAGGTGTGACACCGATGGGACAAGTGTCGGGGACCACATGCGACTAGACAAAAATGCGGTACCGGTGGGACAAAGTGTCGGGGACCACACGGGACTAAGACTACCTTCTTAACCCGAAAAAAACGTACGTACGTTATATTCAAATTACCTCTGGAAATCAAGTTTTCAAAAATCGATTGTTTTTTCGCGAATAGAACGTACGTTCGAATATAACGTACGTACGTTGTATTCGAATACAACGATCGTATGTTGTATTCAAATTTTTCGAACTTTGATTTTTTTAAAATAATCAAAAAAATACGAAAAAAAAATAAAATTATACAACAATGCAATACAAACAACGTTTGCCTGAGGGTCTTATCGAAATTCACGAAAAAATTCGAGAAAATAATAAAAACGAGGATGAAAATCTTTTTTACTGATTTTTTCAGAATTTCGATTAAAACAAAACTTCAGTAAAAAATCCCAAAAAAAAATATGTTGTACAATATTGCAATGCAAACAACTTTTGTCTGAAGGTCTTGGCGAAATTTCAAACCAAATTTGAGATAAAAATAAAAACAATGGCGGTACTACAGACTTCTGAAAAGTTGTACCCTAAAACTCATTCTATAACGTACGTACGTTGTATTCAAATACAACGTACCCCGTACGTTGTATTCGTATACAAGGTACGTACGTTTTTTTCGGGTTCAGAAGGTAGTGTCGGAGACTAGTATCGGGGACTAGTGCGAGACAAGTGGCGGGAACTGTGACGTCCCAAGGAAAAATCGTGGCGCGGCACGTGGTGCAAAATAATAATAATAAAGCTTGACAGCCAAAATTATTAGCACAATTAGTGCAAGCACTAGTGGGAGCAAGCGGGAGGGCAAAAGAAAAAATAAAAAGTACAAAAAACAAGTGCTAGAGGCATGGGAGCAATCCGAAAAATCTCGGATTGACCTCCCCCAAGGAAAATGGAGCCTAGGGGCTCCATGAGAAAAATAGGCCTCCCGGAGAAAATCGGTGCATGGGGGCCTACCGTTTGGAAGAGAGAGGGGCAAACGGTGACCCCCAAGGGCATGAAAGGGCCATAACTGCAGTCCGAAAAATAACGGACTGGCCCTTGGGCACAGGAAGGGTCAAAACTAAGAGGAAGAGGCAAGAAAAGGGCCTTAACGGTTAGTTGACACTTGACATGCAAAAAAAAAAAGAAAAAAAAAAAGAAAATGTGGGAGAATCTGCCAAGGAGAGTGAGAGGGAGTGAGTGAGTTGGCCGTCAGTAGGGACTGCAGCAAGTAGGGACTGCCAAGTCCCAACTGTCCAAGGAAAGAGGAAAAAGAAAAGAAAAGAAAAGAAAATTGAGAAAAGGGCCTTAACGGCTAGTTGACACTTGGCATGCACAAAGAAAAAGAAAAGAAAAAGAAAATGGGAGGTGAGGGAGGATGAGTGAGTTGGCCGTCAGTTGGGACTGCAGCAAGTAGGGACTGCCAAGTCCCAACTGTCCACAAGTGGAGGGAAAATAAAAGAAAAAGAAAAGAAAAGAAAAAGTAAAAGGGAGAAAGTCAAAAGGGCACTAACGGACGAAAACGGCCACCTAGGGGAGGGATTTTGGACCAGATTCATTTTGGCAATGTGGCGGTTACAAAGGACCTTGATTTTCTTTGATTTATGCAGAGAAAATTAAAGAAAATCAAGACCCCTTGCAACCGAAAAATAACGGAATGCATGGGGGAGACCAAAAACAAGTTTTGAGTGCACCGGAAGCCAAAATTGAGACAGGATGCACTTGGAAATTGACCGTTTGATTTTCTTTTGGTTGGGGACTAGTTGTAGGACCTTGGGGCAATGAAAACTGCCCCTAGTGCAGTCCGAGGTGTAACGGACTGCATAGGAAGGGACAAACTCAAGTTTTTGGGGCTCCGGGAGCCGAAATTAAGTCCGGTTGCCTTGGGGAAATTAACGCTTTATTTTCCTTAGGCAATGGGCGTGTCGTGGGACTGTGGGGCTAGCAATATGGCTGTGGGTGCAGTCCGAAAAATTAGGGACTGCACAAGGACGCCTGGACCAAGGGAAAATGGGCCACGGTATGCCCGAAACACTAGAGAACGGCGCCAAGGGCCTAGGGGAGTGTGACAGTAAAACGGCGGCGGCACGGCGGGGGTCCCGCGGCCGGGAAATTATCAACGGCACTTGGGACACATGGAAAGAATAAAACGGGACTGACGGGGACATAACAAGTCCCAAATAAAAATTGGGCGTCAACCGGGATGACGCCGGGGGCCAAAGGGGCCCAAATAAAAATTATCGGAAATTGGGCTTTGTCGACGGCACCGCCGGTGGAACGGAAAAATGAGACTAATACGGGGAGCGGCGGGACTTGAGGTGTCCTGAGGGGGAGGCCACTAGTCAATGTGAGGAATGGTCATGAGAAGCAAACGGCGCTGTCGAGATCAAGGATCTCGACGGTGGAAAAATATTAGCACCACTAGTGCGGACGTTAGTGGGGCTAGAAACGGGAGTGAGAAGCAAAAAAAAATAATAATAAGGAGAGGGTTGCCCAACAGTCCGGGGTGTTTTTGGACGAGCTAGGCATGAGAAAACAAGAGCCCAAGGGGCTCAAATCAAGAAATGGGCTAGCCAAAAAAAATCGGAGCCAAGGGGGCTCAAAATGGCGGCTAACGGGAGGAAAATGAGCCCCCTAGGAGCATGGGCCTGCCAACTTGGTGGGCCGGGGTGTAACGGCCAACAGCCGGGCATGAACCTGGCCACAATCAAGACTCTAAGGCCTAGAAAGAGAGTGCACAGCAAGTTGACACATGTCACAACAAAAATAAAAGAAAAAGAAAAGAAAAAGAAGAAAACAAATGAGACAAAATAGAAGAAATGTGTGGAGGGGAGTGTGTCGACCATTGGGATGGCAGCGGTAGGGACTACCAGGTCCCAATGATGACCTCACTCCTAGTAGATATAAGGAGTGCAGGCCGGATTGCTGGGATATGGCCCTTGGGGCCATATCTCAACAAAATCTGAATTAAAAAGGGGAAAAATAAAAGAAAATGCAAGAGGGAAAAATCCGGTTTTCTTTTGAGCGATGGATATGAGATCAGATCTTATGGTGGAGAGAAAACAACCGTTTTCTGTGGGGCAGCACAAAATGGCTAGATCCGGAATGAGGTGGCAGCCCAAAATGGAAAGGAACGAAAGAGGGAAAAAACGAAACTGTGCATTTGGCCCAAAAAGAGAGCCAGATGCATCAAAAATTAAAAAATTGAGCCTATAGGCTTAAAATTGATCGAAGGACCACCATGGGGTAGCTCGGAATATTGGTGGCCTTGGATTTCACCCTGATCCAAGGATGAAAATGTGCCGCCACTTGGAAAAATGGTCCGGCCTACCCAAGGGAGGCCGAAACTTGGAAAAATCGAGGAAAAGGCCCACTAGGCCTTTTTCTCTCAAGTAGGCTACCCCTTGGACCTTGGAATCAAGGGGGCAGCATTTTCCAAGATGTAGGAGGCCCAAGGGGTAGGCCGAGTTGGTACCAACCACTCGGGCTGCATGTACCTGGCCGAAAAGAGGCCCAGGTGTCCCCGGAGAGGCCTAGAGGTGAAATATGGCCAAGGGGGTACCTCGGATGACCTTGGGGCACTTGGGAGGGCCCAAGGGCTGGCCGGACTGCTGTTCCCAACCTATATAAGTCGGGGATTCAGTCCACTACACTCATACTTGCATGAGGAGTGCGCATGCTGCCCAAGTGAGCCCGTGAGAGCTCTAGAGGCATTCGAAGAATAGTGAGGGGAACCCCTGCCGGTTTGGAAGCTTGGAGGAGGCTGTGAGCTAATGGGAGAAGACTCTACAAGCTAGTGGTAGTGAGGGAGGTAATCCGCCATAGCTCCCAGGCTAGTGGAGAGGAAGGCAAAACTAAGAGGAGTCTCATTAGCCCTCCTAGAGGGGAGGATTCCCTAGTCTTAGTGGTAGGTGCCCATAGCAACTTGGAGGAGGTGAGAGAGGAAGGAGAAAGGCTTGAAGGAGAAGGGAGTCATAACCAAGAAGGAGACATCCAAGGGGTGAGTGAAGAGATGCCTCCCCCTTCTTCTCCCTTCTCTTCTCTCTCCTCTCCCTCTCCTTCTC